GAATGGTCAGCTGATCTGCATGTTGCTGAATCGCAACATCTGGAAGCTGACCCCGGATCGAATGAACAAGTATATCTTTCTTCACCTCAAGACGTCGGTGTTCGATTGCATCGTTTGCTGAGCACAGAATTTTGAACTCCTTTTTCCGCACCTAAGTAAATGTACTGCCGCGTTAGGAACTTGTTCGTTAGGTGAGCATCAATTGGCTGATGTAAGCCAGCCCTGAGACGTGGTCGATTATTGTAGAGAAGTAGCTTTCTTTCTTTTCGACGATTGGTCCTTCCAGAAATCGAAAGTCGAAAGGAAGTCCTAATGTATTAAGGGGCCGGCGAGCACTAGGAATTCACTGCTATGTTGAGTCTGTTGTGCAGCGTGTATCGAATCTGTGACCTTGCAGTACACTTCTTATCATTACCGTGACAAATAGCACTGCGGAAGGAAAAGAGGCCATCGGCAGCCTCCTATACTGCACCACTGATTCCATAGGTTCGCAAAGTTATGAACGATAATTGATAATGTAGGTCATTACAAGCCATGTGACTTGTAATTTCAGCAGGCAATTTATGACAGTTTCTATGTAGTTTGTTTTCAGTTATGATTTATCTTCATATGATTATTTAATTTACTTTTATTTCCTTTTCTTTCATCTGTATTGAAAAGCAGTACTTTTGGGGATCTTGTTCAAATGGGCAGCTTTAGCTTTCGAGGGTTTGAAATTGTCGATTGTAAATAACAGCTTCCATTTATACAGAATATATATGCGCATGTTAACTGTTAACAAAAAGATACCATCTGTAGTTACTTTCAGCGACAGTTCAGAACTCATCACAAAAAAAGAGGGCACTCTGCTATGGGCCAAAAAGTACACCAGTTCGTTGGCCATTCCTCAGCGGCAGTAGTTGACGCATTTGATAGCAGACAACAGATCCATACATTAATATCCATTTCAAATGCACGTTATTAAGTCCTTCCACATTCGATTGTTACAGTTATCTGTATATATCTAAACACGATTAGAATATTCCGCCAGATTCATAGGAGGTATCACCATTTTTGTTGGTTTTGGTCTTCATAGCGAATATACCCGAGACGACGACGCACTCTGTAGATCGTGTTTTCTTGATCAATCGATCGTTCTGCTATTTCTGAATTTTCAAGATAATTTCGATCATGTGGTCAACAGAGACTGTGTTTAATTATTCTAGTAGAGTTTATGTATCACATGCTTATGTTTCAATCCAGATACGGTTGATTTATCTTAACTTCACTCTATGAACGGTCAAGAAGTATTAAACTACCTAAATCGGTCCAACTGCTGTGGGTGCAATATTCTCCATACCACCCACCGAGATATAGGATATTTTTTTAAAAAAAGTGAAGAACAGCAACATATGGCAAATACGAATGGTTATGAATTTAAAACTCCTAAGTTTGATTGGCTAATAAAAACGTTTTTAATAAGAGTCGTCCGGTTCAGTGGCAGTGCGCATAAAGAAAATTCAGGGTGAGCGCATGGCTGTGAAAAAATACCCAATATGATACATGGTTTAAGCTTGGATGCCTGTGGTCGTATGTGAAATGTCAGTTTCTGAATAACTTTTTGAATCTAACTCTTTTTTTTGATTTACGAACATTGAATCATGAAACTTCTTCTTTTAGTCTATTTGCACAAAATCGATCAAAAATATTATAGTATTATGGTAATAATATTGGCAGGCCATCGAGGCGGTGGGTTTTGAATCACTGAATGATCCTGTAAGATATGTTATCAGAAACATTAGTTTTGTTAGGGCCACCAAGCTGGACAGGTCTGAGAACAAGAGGCCTGACTAATACCGGTCAGGAGTGACTGTAGCAACTCATTTACGCCCATTTGGGGGACGTATGAATATGACAATAAACGACTTCAAGTACTGCATTGGTCTTCGCCCAGGATGAATTGGACCTTCATGCAGACTTGGCTGAAGAGGATGTGTCGTCAAGTCTGCCATGGTGTACCCGTGGAATCGCCAGGGAGTGACAGCAGTTAATGCTTGTCAGAAGAACTGTGATGGGCTGCGGTGCCACACTACGTAGGACTATCACAAAGAGGGAAAGCGCTATCAACGAACATGCACCAGGGCTTTTCATAGAGCAAAAATGGGAAGTTTTGAAGACAAACTTACGAACCCCATCCCCCCGCCACCCAGGCAACCAACAAAACGCGCCGGACGAACTGGTGCATGGAAATGACCATTAGAGTTCGCTGAGCGTATCTCTCAGCTACAAAGCTCGAGAATGTAACGACTATCTACTGTCAAAAAACGGATTCCATCTGGAGGGAAATGTGTCCCGAAACAATGCTAACTGAACAGACACTAGTAGCTGAAGTCAAAATAATCTTTAACCGTGAGTTCTATCAAAAAAGAGATATTGGATATCGAGAACGAAGCATCACGCAATTCAATTGGTTATCACATACATCTACAGTTCCATGGAAGAAGCCAGCTTTCCCCAGATGGCTCCCTTTGGGAGCCTGTCAAAAAGAATTACAAGAAAAAATGAACAAGTTGTAGACATGGGCAGACTAACCAAAGAGTTGCAATGACAAAATTGTGGACGATGATTTCGTGAAGAATTTGAAATCGCCGTTATTGCTCTGAAAATAAAAATGGAATGGCTGCCGCTCTGCCGATGTATAACTGTAGGTCAATGAAAATGTCTAATATGACGGATATGGTGCTGACATGAACTTGCCAGAAATTCTAAGTATAGGAGAAAAATGTCACGTGGTCCATGCATCTGCTTTCACAGTCTCTACGATTCTGGGCGAGCATGTCAGTTCAGCAAAGAAGAGGCAACGGCACTGCAACACCCAAATAAAATGCGGCCAATTCTGTCATGGAAAAGGCAGTTAAAAATGAAACCAGAACAGCTGGGTACCGAGGCTGCTATCTGAACCACCTACTTGAAAGATCCCACCAGTGGAAGTAGTAATGTTGTCTGAAGGTTGAGATCGTTTTGTAAGAAACTGGAATTACGAATGACCGACAAGGACCTCATGCCTCGCTTTTCTGAGCGTTCAGCATTTTTTAAACAAAAAAATGCGCTGTGTGCCTGCAGGATCAGACGTTATAACGAGGCAATCAAAGGAACATATCAGAACGATGTGTTCGAAAACAATGGCCACAAACTTTTTGCCTCATTGGAGCAGAACGAGCGGTTAAATCAGGAATCTAAAACACCCGATGTAAACACGATGTACAGACAATGGGGAAAAATCTGGGAACATCTATGCAAACGTGACGCTGGAGCAAACTGGCTACTGGAAGAAGAAAATGTCACCCGAAATATCAGAATAATGCAACCTAGTTGGATCACACCGGGAGATATTGTCGATGCTACAAAAATGACACTCAAATGGAAATTGCAGGGAGTAGATGATATCGAAAATTATTGGCAAAAATATCTCACATTCACCAGCATCATTCTGGCATTGTACGTTCAGGCAATATTTGAATCAATATGTAATATGTATAATATTATCCCAATTTCGCAACCAGCTTCCTACATGGTGGTGAAACGTACATGCCACCTAAAGAAATGGTTTACGACCGAGCCTAAACCTATTCGGCCAATAATGCCTACCAGCCGTTTTAAAGCTCTTGAGGAATGTACCGATGATGAATATATGAAAGATCCATCTTCGAGTGAATACCCTCTTAGGAGAGGAGCGGAAAGGCTGAAGACGAGGAAGCCAAGAAATTGCAAATAGCTCCCATAACCGATTTAGTCGTTACCAGTTGAATGCGGGTTCTGCATACAAGTCAATATCTCACTTGGACGCAGAACGTGAAAGAGAACGTTTGACTGAGTATCTCATTCATACAGAGTGGATGATACTAACGTTGCCTTTGTCCTGTGGCTCATTTCATGGTAACGTTGTGAACGCGGCTGCATGTTGGAAAACGTTATTCTGGTCATGTCAGAATGGATGAAATGATGAAGTATGCGGCAGTGATGTCCAGTGCGATCGCCTCCTGCTGCTGCATTTCGCTTTGGCCTACCTGAAGATAAATGTCATCTAATAATCAGCACAATGTGTAAACGTGATTTCCATAAAAATGGATAATAAGCTCAAAGGCTAGTTCAGAGCTTATTAGCTTCATAAGCTTACGGCAAAGATCAACTCGCGCATCTTGGCAGAGTCTAGATTTCAGATATTCGGATCAGCATTGTTGCATAGCCGCTGCTTTTACAGATTCATACGTAACAACGTCCTGGAATGCTTCCAGAAAGAAACGAGACAGCTAGTACTTGCACATCAGGCTGGATGGCCGAAGACTTTACGGATTCTCTTGAATGTCCTGGGGCTGATGGCTCGAAGGACTCTGTTCCAAACTCGGGTTATCTTCTGCCGAAGCTCAAACGCTGGCGCGCTAACGCAGTTATGAACCGCTGCTATAAAGTTGTTTATAATAGTCAGCTTATATATTGTACTTTCTCATATGGCAAATCCCATTGAACCGTTTGTTTCTGAACACCCACAGAGCATTTAATCAGGTCAGGATTCCATAATATCTGAGAACTTGCGGTGAGTACGTAGCAAAATGGCAGCACAACGCTGATTGGACACAGCGGGTCAATGACACTAACAGTGTGCTAGGTGCAAGCTAATTCCTCCATTGGAAATGATAGGTAAGCCGGAAACATCACAACGTTATTATTTTTTATACACCAATTGTATGTAATGGCAGCATCTACATTTGATGTATGGTCTGTGTAATATATTTAATTATTTTTAATATTTGTTGTTTTGAATTAACAAAGTTCATTACTGGATGGTACCACGATATAACTTCATTATTACAGAATTCCCAACTTTATGAACTGTTTGATTCATTGTCAGGGAATGAAATTTCATCATCAGTTCTAAAAATGTATTGTTTTATGTTTATTTTTTCTATAGTTTACGTTTTACTGTTGCAATCGTTCACTTTGAATCTGGTTGTTTCATTGCCGAAAGTTTATACATTTCTGCACCACCAAAACAAGACTCGAACTTAACAGTGATCAGAAAGAGCGCGCGAATTCCTTGCCTATTAGAAACTGAAAGTGCAACCAAGTCATGAAAGAACTGGCTGTTTTTTGGGCAATGAAACGTAATTATTGTACCACTTCCTGTGGCAAAACGAAAAGTGAATCTCACTGTAGTCACATGAACTCTTTTACCTTCATACATGAAGTTTACACGGTAAGCATAATTAATTTGAGCTCCACGTTACCGTCTGTTCCATGGGACTTGATGCATCGACTTCCGTCTGGTTTATAGGGGGCACAGCAGCTGCTGAAGGCGCATTCCGCGTCAAAATCGTTCAAACTGAAAACGATCAATTGAATCTTATGAGTAATACAGACAGACACTTGCCAAATTTTGGCAAGATGCAGGTCGGTGCCAACGGTTACATCCTTATGTACGCCTTTATACAAAACTCTTGAGCAAACATATCAACTTATTAAATGTGATAGCAAAATCTGACATCTAATTTTCGATTAAAAGTTTTTGCTCTCTGTCATGTGCCAACGTCAGTGAGTAGAAATATTGTTCACTAAAGCCGTTTTAAACTGATCTTCAGAATCTTCTGAAATACTGGTAAATAATTCGATTCCTTCATTTCGATTCATGACCTGAGAATCTACCATATATTGAACTTTTTGCTGAGAGGATATTCAGACATCGATAATTGTGGCCTAGATCAAGAATATCCATTCAGCGAGACCGTTTTTCTCATTTGGATCGATTTTCCATCGAAGATTGTTGAACAGAAAAAGCGAAAGCAGAAGCGCAGAAGTTGTGC